GGTTCGATTCCTCAGCACCACATAAACAGAAAAAGCCGGAAGTGGTGCTGTGGCTCAAGTGGTAGAGCGCTAGCCTTGAGCTGAAGAGCTGAGGAACAGCTCCCAGGCCAAGTTCAGGCCCCATGACCGGCAAAAAAACAAAACCCAAACCAAAGTAAAACAGCTTCAGAAATGGACACATGAGCACACTCAGCCAGCGAAGTCCATATCTGTAGACTAGGATTCTGAGACAATGACTCACCTAAAGTTTCAACATCAGAAACTTCAGGGTAGAAGGACACCAGAATATCCTTAGGATGGTGCCAGCATGGGGCTTCCCTCTCCTTTCCAAGAGGCTCATAAACCCTGCAAATGAGTTTGCAAATGAGTCTCTCTAAACCTTCCTGGGGTCTGCTTGGAGGTAGGAGCCATCCCCATAGCATCTTCACTGTTCAGTAGGCAGTGCTCTTCGGCTCACATCAGAACAAAATCAGATCCCCACAGTACTCCGGGGAGACAAAGTACAGCTCCTCCACTGCAGAGCTTGGGCAGGTATGTTTCTGGTAGGCTGCATGCATCCACGTGCAAAGCTGCTCATTAGTAAAGGCAGTTCTTCTCTTTCCCTCTGCATGTGCACAGCGTCTAAGAGAAGAAATGGAAGAAATCACGCAGCAGCAGCTTGTCCATGACAAGTACTGCAAGGATCTCATGGGCTTTGGGACGAAGCCTCGGCACATCACCCCCTTCACCAGTTTCCAGGCTGTACAACCCCAGCAGTCCAACGCCTTGGTGGGGCTGTTGGGGTACAGCTCTCACCAAGGCCTCATGGGATTTGGGGCTTCCCCCAGCCCTGCTAAGTCCACCCTGGTGGAGAGCCGATGTTGCAGAGACTTGATGGAAGAGAAATTCGATCAGGTAAATGGTGTGAGGCCCTCTCCCACTTCTCCCAAGCACCCTCTGCCTCCCTTCCCCCTGCCAACCCTTTATCCTTCCTCTCTCAGGTGTGCCAGTGGGTGCTGAAATGCAGGAATAGCAAGAACTCGCTGATCCAAATGACAATCCTTAATTTGTTGCCCCGCTTGGCTGCCTTCCGACCTTCCGCCTTCACAGGTGAGGATGTCCGTAGAAGACAGCATTGCCCACCTAGATCATTAAACTGGGACAAGGTGATTGCAGAAAAGCGTGTCTGAGCCTCAGAAACAACAGGACATAGGGGCTACTCTGTGGGTTCTTCACCCAACAGCTAATTTTTCTGTTAAGAGAAGGAACAATCAATGCATAGGCAGAAGAGCAGTTCAAAGCCAAGCAAGGTCTCATGTGGAAGTTAACACATTTCTGGATGGACTTAAAAGATACCAAAATAAGGGCAGCTTTGGGTAGGTACTGTGCAGTAGCAGCCTGTGTGGGGCAGGGAAGGTATGATGACCTTCCTGCTTCTGCTCTGGAAGCAGTTACTACACTGCTTCACTCTGTGTAGGAAGGAAGGACTGGATGTTTCAGACAGGTTCCATGGATGGTAGAGAGGAAGTTTCCATAGCCCTGCCCTGTCCTATGTAGGCAGTGTGAATTCCTCCTGGCTATGACATCTGGCCCATCTAAGGTTTTGACTTCTCCAGGAAGCCTTCCTGAATTGCTCTAGCCGGAAATGTTCTTCTCCATTCTAGGAAGGCTTTGTCATCAGACCCTCAGTCCTTCACTGTGAAGTTTTGGACAGGTTATTTCACCTTCCTGGCTTACAAAATTGCAATAACAAGAAGGGATAGTGGGACAACAAAGGAAGTAATGTACTCATTGTCTTATTACTGTAACTGTAACCCCTCTGTACAGCATCTTTACAATAAAATATAATTTAAGAAATTACAGGGGGCTGGGAAGGTGGCTCAGTGGTAGAGCGCTTGCCTTGCATGCCTGAGGCCCTGGGTTCGATTCCTCAGCACCACATGAGCAAAAAGAAAAAAGCCGGAGGTGGCGCTGTGGCTCAAGTGGTAGAGCGCTAGCCTTGAGCTGAAGAGCTGAGGGACAGCACCCAGGCCCAGAGTTCAGACCCCATGACCGGACCCCAAAAAAAATAAAAAAAAAAAAAAGAAATTACAATAATAATCCCAGCCTCTCAAGACAAATGGCGTGAGTGCCTAAGTAGCTCTGTAGTGCCCAGCAAGAATTGGCCCCAAAAGATGGAAACCATTATTATTATTATTATTATTATTGTCTCCATAAGCTACTTGGGTCCATTTTGGTAATAAGGTGGGACTCTATGTTATAATAACTCTCCAGGTGCTTGTTCATACTGTTCCTCCTACTTGGTGAGAGTGAGACCTCATCTCAACATCTCTCTGTGCACTGGGATGCACATTGCCTGTGCTTAGCAAGCATGCAGGACCAAATGGACATGAGGTGTGGGGGAGAAGGCCAGCCCCATCTCAGCAGTTGCCATTCCCAGTACAGGTAGATTCGCACTGCTAAGCCCAGACGAAACTGCAGGAGAAGTGTGGCTGGTGAGTGTTTAAAACAGGCCAGGCTGTGGATAGCTAGAACTTGCTGCATAAGAACAAGACAATTAGTTACCATGAAATCACGGAACCAGAGAGAAATGTGAATGAAAATTGCCCGTTCTCTTTTCAGTCTTCCATTCTGCCTGTCTGGCATCCAGAGTTCTTCTCTTTCTTAGTGACCAGACATGCTGCTGATCAGTAGAGCTCTAAATGATCTTGGGTTGAAAGTCTGTAGTTCAAAAGAAATTAATAACTAGGGCAAATTTGATCAAAGTCTGGCATGTTGTAGAGGTAGTTATGCTGCTCTGTTCAAAAGGCTGCTAAGCAGCAGGATAAAAAGACTCTGTGGGCCCCTGGGTTTATTCTTTTGATGTAGGTTTGTTGTTGCTAAATGCCACACTAAAATGTATCAGTGAAATTCAGTCTGAGCAGTCCCTGCAAGGGTACACCTAAGTGTTTAAGAGCCTCTTGTTCAAAGCTCTTACGTATGGAAGCATTACTTAAACTTTCCAGTGGTATATGCTTTGGGATTATGATAAATACTGCAAAAACAAATAAAAATATACTCTAAGACCAGCCAGGTGTTGGTGGCTCACGCCTGTAATCCTGGCTGCTCAGGAGGCTGAGATCTGAGGATCAAAGCTCAAAGCCAGCCCAGGCAAGAATGTCCTTGAGACTCTTGTCTCCAGTTAACTACCAGAAAAGCTGGTAGTGGCACTGTAGCTCAAATGGTAGAGCGCTAGCCTTGAGCAAAAAGTTCAGGCCAGTTGGGTTGCTGGTGGCTCATGCCTGTAATCCTAGCTACTCAGGAGGCTGAGATCTGAGGATCACGGTTCAAAGCCAGCCCGAGCAGGAAAGTCCATGAGACATCTCCAGTAAACACCAGAAAACCGGAAGTGGTGTTGTGGCTCAAGTGGTAGAGTGCTAGCCTTGAGCTGAAGAGCTGAGGGAAAGTGCCCAGGCCCAGGGTTCAAGCTCCATGACCAGAAACAAAAGTTCAAGCCCTGAGTTCAAGCTCCAGGACTGGCAACAAAACAGTCTCTGTCTCTGTCTCTCTGTCTCTCTCTCTGTCTCTCTCTCAGAACATACTCTCTCTTTCTCTCTCTCACTCTCTCTCTCTCTCTCAAGACCAGATTGGAATCTATACACCTGATTTAGCCTCGTTTTCCTACAGAAATGCCCCTATGTGGAAAGGATTAGTTCCTTCGTTGGTTCAGTTTAAACTTAGGGTTATGCCACTTTGTTCTGCCTATTTTCAGCTTTTATGTGCTCTTTGAGTATCTGGTTCATGGTGTGCATATGGCTCTGGTATCCACAGTGGATGTGGGGGCCTGCCTTGTCTGTTGTCATAAATGTGCTCCTAGGGCACAGACTCAGGGCCAGCGTCAGTGGGGAGAGAAGAAACAGAAGAGAGACAAGAATTGAGAAATTCTAGCTCTCCGAGGAGAAACAGCTCTTCAGATTAAAGTGCCCAAGAATCACCTGTCTTGCATATTGGCCTGTGTAAACTTAATGAAAACGCACATGGGGCTTTCCAAACTACAGACTAAGTATTAGCCTATTAAATATAACTATAGTATAAAATCTGTAGGAAATAGTAAAGTGATTTCTAGACCTAACCTGAGTAGAATGGCCTGTTAATTGTAAAGAGTATTTGATATTATTCTAGTTGCAATATAATGTAAAGTAGATGCAATGATCTTTTTGTTTTTAAACAAGAGCGTGTCATTGTCCCTCAAAACAACACAGATGCTCTTAATCCCAGTGCTGTCTTCTTGGATACTCTGTCCCATGTGAGCCCAGTAGAAGGAAAAATGGTGCCCAGGCTGCAGTAAAGAACGCTGAAAAAATTATTACAGGATGCTCTCTCAAGACTCCTCATTTTGGGGGGGGGGTTGGTCATGGGGCTTGAACTCTGGGCCTGGGCGCTGTCCCTCAGCTCTTCAGCTCAAGGCAAGCACTCTACCACTTGAGCCACAGTGCCACTTCTGGTTTTCTGGTGGCTAACTGGAGATAAGTGTCTCACAGACTTTCCTGTCTCACAGACTTTCCTCAGATCTCAGCTTCCTGAGTAGCTAGGATTATAGGCATGAGCCACCAGCACCTGGCTTCCTCTTTTTTTTTTTTTAAGTAGAGGTAAAAATGTCTATTTCTAATATTTCCAAAAGATGTGTCTGAGGAGTGATGATGGGACACGAGGTGTCTTGGCCAGGAGTGGTGGCTCCTACTGTCATCCTTACTACTCTCGAGTCTGAGATCAGAAGTATCACAGTATGAAGCCAACCTGGTCAAAAGGTACTCGGAGAACATAGCTGGTAAAAAGGAAAGCTGGGCACAGTGGTGTGTGCCTGTTATCCCAGCTACATGTAAATAGGAGAATTTTGGTCTAGTCTGGCCTGGGCCATAAATGGGAAACCTTATTTGAAAAATACTGAAAGCATTTGAATGTGGCTCATGCGGTAGATAGAACACCTGCCTGACAAGCATAGTCTTGCCAGGTACTGCCAAAAATTATCCTTCTGGCTGGGAATGTGGTTTAGTGGTAGAGTACTTGCCTAGCATGTATGAAGCCCTGGATTCAATTCCTCAGTACCACATAAATGGAAAGCTAGAAGTAACACTTTGGCTCAAGTGGTGGAGTGTTGTTAGCCTTGAGCAAAAGAAGCTCAGAGACAGTGCCCAGACCCTGAGTGCAAGTCCCAGGACTGACAAAAAAAAAAAATCCTCTAAATTCTTACCATCTTTCTAACAGGTCTTCTTAATTTATATTTAAACTTGAAGATTTTCTGTAGGATCTCTGATCTTTGATATATAACCTCACTCTGACCTTGAGCTATACACTTTATCTTTTCTGTGCCCAGATACCCAGTACCTTCAGGATACCATGAACCATGTCTTGAGCTGTGTCAAGAAGGAGAAGGAACGAACAGCCGCCTTCCAGGCCCTGGGGCTGCTTTCTGTGGCTGTGAGGTCCGAGTTTAAGGTCTACTTGCCCCGTGTGCTGGATATCATCCGAGCAGCCCTGCCGCCAAAGGACTTTGCCCACAAGTAAGCATTTCTGTTAGCATTTCTCCTCACACCCAGTTTACCTGGACAGCAAGCACATTCCATTCCAGTTCCATGGACCCTAAACTCGTTCTGCCAATCTCTACACTCCAGGTTGCCTAGAGTGTAGAGATTGACAGCATGGAACGTGCTACTGTTAGAGATTGGCAGAATGAGTTTAGGGTCCATTCCAGATGATCCCTCCTCACTTGAGTTCTAGCTTTTCTAAATGAAATGGCATACATAGAAATTCATGAGGTAACTAGGCATTGTTGCTACACACCTGTAATCCTAGCTCAAGAGGTTGAGACTTAAGGATTCTGGTTCAAAGCCAGCCCTGGCAGGAAAGTCTGTGACATTCTTTTTTTTTTTTGGGGGGGGGGTCCGGTCGTGGGGCCTGAACTTTGGGCCTGGGTGCTGTCCCTCAGCTCTTCAGCTCAAGGCTAGCGCTCTACCACTTGAGCCATTTCCGGCTTTTTTCTTTTTGCTTATGTGGTACTGAGGAATCGAACCCAGGGCCTCAGGCATGCAAGGCAAGCGCTCTACCACTGAGCCAACTTCCCAGTCCAAGTCTGTGACATTCTTATCTCCAATTAACCACCAGAAAACTGGAAGTGGTGCTGTGGCTTAAAGTGGTAGAGCTCTAGCCTTGAACAAAAGAGTTTAGGGGCAGTGCCCAGACCCTGAGTTCAAGTCCCATGACTGACCCCCCCCAAAACAAACAAACAAAAAATCAGTGAGGTAGAATGTCTTGAGAACACATTTGATATCAGCTGTTTTGGGTGTCATTATTTAGGAGACATCTAGTTTTGTTCTTCTGTCTGGCGTGCATAGGCTTTATGCTGATAGGGAAAGGAATCCAGACCAAAACTTAAGGGTTCTAGCAGTTGTCTTTTCCCTCATTTTTAAAGTTGAATAAGTTCTTCTACCTCTTTGAAGTATGAGAAAAAAACCAACAACAAAGAAAAAAAAGAACCTTGAGTACAAAAACTCTTTAGCCTGCCAGAGGGATAAGTCAGGGTGTCTTGACTAAGACTGGAGGGGCCGTGTAATAGAGTTACATTCTTCTATTTTCCTGTAGTATTAGCAAGTAGTCCCTGGTGGATTAACAGGCTCACCCATCCTAAAGCTGGACATTCTCATCTCAGCCGCACAATAATCATGGACTGCCTCTCCTGAAAGGGAAAGGTCTCCTTATTCCTTATGGCACGTGGCTGCCATCTGCTGGATGGTCATCCTAAATACAGTCTACAGCGATGTGTATGACAGCCCCCTAGAAATGTACAGCAGCTACCCTGCATACCCCCCCGGGGGAGGATGGGGATAGGGGAGGTGTTCCTGAGGAACCTGCCCCTTTTGCCACAAGGCAGCTCTGAGGTAGGACAAGACAAGAGGTCTGTATGAATTCACCACTGTTTTCTCTGCAGGAGGCAGAAGGCCATGCAGGTGGATGCCACAGTGTTCACGTGTATCAGCATGCTGGCAAGAGCCATGGGGCCTGGCATCCAGCAGGACATCAAGGAGCTCCTGGAGCCCATGCTGGCGGTGGGGCTGAGGTGCGTGACGAGGCCCTTCACCTGCTCTGCCTCAGTCAGGGAGGGGCCTGGTGCATACCTTAAAAGACAGAGGAGTGGTTGTGCGCACATTAAATTGGATAGGCAGGATAGCTCGCACTGTACATAGGCTTGCCTTGAGCCCTATGTGATGCTAGCTGAGTTTCTTCTCTGAGCCTATTTTCTCATCTGAAAAATGGTGCATCGTGGCTCTTGTTGTCCAGGACTGTGGTAGGGAGGTCTTCAGGAGCCACTGTCTGGCTCAGGCAGTTATTTATATTGTTATTAGACAAACTAGTTAAACTCCCTACACTTGAGTTCTCTTCAGCCAATGAGATGATGTTCTTGCTGTGTTTCCTGATTGGTGTACTGAGCCCTGGTCTGCTGTGGTGGTTGTATTAGTGTAAACAAATGCTCTTGCAGTGAAAACCAGACTCAGATTGTCCTGAAATCTGAGAGCAAGCCAAGAGATTTGAGTACGTTTAAGCCCTCTGATTCCACCTTTTCTACTTTGGAGCCCAGCAGTGATGGGTCTGACCTCCTCATTGGGCAAGGAGGCCTGTTTCTTCTCAGGAACAGGTGGAGTATCCTTGGCCCAGCCCATGGTGACTTAGTTTCCTTCTCCTCAGCCCTGCCCTCACGGCTGTGCTCTACGACCTGAGCCGCCAGATTCCACAGCTGAAGAAGGACATCCAGGATGGACTCCTGAAGATGCTCTCGCTGGTCCTCATGCACAAACCCCTCCGCCACCCAGGCATGCCCAAGGGCCTGGCCCACCAGCTGGCATCCCCTGGTCTCACCACCCTCCCCGAGGCCAGTGACGTGGGCAGCATCACCCTTGCCCTCCGGACCCTTGGGAGCTTTGAGTTTGAAGGTAAGAAATTGGATCAGCTCTTGCCAGGATGGTGAGTGATGCCGGGAACCTTGAGAAAGGTGTTAGGGGTTCTAGAATTTCTGGGTCTCGCTGGGGTCCTCGGCAGGCCATGGGTGGCACAATCGCTCCTCCTTTTTCCCAGGCTCTCCCCATACATACTTGATTCCTACTCTGTGCTTTGTTCCATACCATACTGTGTTTGGGGATAGATAATGTAGATTCAAAGAAATATGCCTGGTGATACCTCTCTCCCCTTCTCCTCATTTCCTTGTAGCTGAGGATATTTTGAGTGTGCATGCCTGTACTAGGGCTTGGACTCAGGGATTTGTACTCTTGCTTAGCTTTTTTACTCAAGACTGATGGTGTACCACTTGAGCCACACCTCCACTTCCAGCATTTTTCTGGTTTAATTGGAAATAAGAGTCTCATGAACTTTACTGCTTGAGCTGGCTTTGACCCAAGATCCTCAGATCTCAGCCTCCTGAGTAGTTGGGATTATAGGCATAAGCCACCAGCACCCAGACTGAAAAGGTACTTAATGCTTCAAAATATATAAGCCCTCCACACAAGTTCTCTTCACTAATGATGATGCTCCCGATCCACTTCCTAGGCTGTTTATTGAGACTCAGTCTTCTACAGTGGTTGAATTATATTAAACCAGTTGTGCTGATTAGCAGCACAAATTGTAATTTATTTCTAGTGAATAGAATATAGCTGTGTTTAAACTTATCTTACATCAAACTTTCTAAGAACTAAAATAGACAAGGTAAACCTTGGTCAAGAATATGTTACCTTCTATGCCGGGCACTGGTGGCTCATGCCTGTAATCCTAGCTACTCAGGAGGCTGAGATCTGAGAATCATGGTTCAAAGCCAGCCTGAGCAGGAAGTCCATGAGACTCTTATCTCCAGTAAACCACTAGAAAACCAGAAGTAGTGCTGTGGCTGAAGTGGTAGAGCATTCACCTGGAGCTGAAGAGCACAGGGACAGTGCCCAAGCCCAGAATTCCAGCCCCACAACCAACAACAACAAAAAAACTCCTCCCTTCTACCATTCTGCTGTTTGGAAGCTCGTGTGCTTTCCTTTAAGAGAAAAATTCTAAGGTTTGGTGCACATGGCTATAATCATAGCTACTCAGGAGGCTGAGATCTGGAAGATCATGGTCTGAGGTCAGCCTGGACAGAAAATTTGTGAGATTCTCTTGCCAAAACACTCAGCAAAAAGCAGGGCTGGTGGTAGAGAGCTAGCGCAAGGCCTTGACTTCTCACTCTGGTACCTGCAAGAAAGAGTTCTGAATCACTGTCTTGTTGTTGAGTACCTGTTGAAAATGGAATGAGAAGCCCTTAGCAAACTTTGGATCTTCTTGTCCAGAACAGCAGTGTTTATTCTGCTTTGTCTCTGCCTTTGTATTCAGGTCACTCCCTGACCCAGTTTGTCCGACACTGTGCGGATCACTTCCTGAACAGTGAGCACAAGGAGATCCGAATGGAAGCTGCCCGCACCTGCTCCCGCCTCCTTACACCCTCCATCCACCTCATCAGTGGCCACGCCCACGTGGTTAGCCAGACCGCCGTGCAGGTGGTGGCAGATGTGCTCAGCAAACTGCTCGTGGTTGGGATAACAGATCCTGGTAAAATTTCTAGACATAAGCAGTCTGTGGGATTCAGGAACTTGGGGCCAGGTGGAAGTAGCCAATTTCATTACATAGCATCTGTCAACTTTTCCCTGCCATGGGTTTCTCCAGCCCATTAGTATAAAATAATCTGCTTTAATTCTTCTCACTTTGCTTCTCTGAGTAGAGAAAAGAATGACAGAGGTGAGATTAAAAAAAATATATATCTGGAGTCACCCAATGTAGACTGATGGCAGGGAGCTAGTGTGGGAAAGGGTGGAGAGAGGGGTCATGAAGAAGACTTCAAAGGCTCAATTGCTCTTGCAGACCCTGACATCCGCTACTGTGTCTTGGCGTCCCTGGATGAGCGCTTTGATGCACACCTGGCCCAGGCAGAGAGTTTGCAGGCCCTGTTTGTGGCCCTGAATGACCAGGTGTTTGAGATCCGGGAGCTGGCCATCTGCACTGTGGGCCGGCTGAGTAGCATGAACCCTGCCTTTGTCATGCCTTTCCTGCGCAAGATGCTTATCCAGGTAATGGGCTGACAGGCCTGCAGTGAGCTTAAGCATCAAATTCTCCAACTGTGTGTAACATACTTTCACAAAGTGATGTTTATTCTTAAGTTGTCATAGCTAAAAACTGGCCATAAATGGTATTCATCAGTCAACAAATTAGGAAATTGTACTTGTGTTGGCACTTCTGCTTTTAGCCTGATGACTTCTTTAGCTGTTGGCCCATGTGGGGAGTATAGCCACTTTTTTAAAACTAAAATTTTATTGTTATTATTAAGATGTTGTCCAGCAAGATTGCCATTTTGTAAGTTAGGTAACGAGTACATTTCTCTTTTTTTGGACAATCACATCCCTCCTTGGTTTTCCCAAAGGTTCCCTCTCCAGTTCCTGCCCATAGTTTATTATTTGCATAGTTTATTTTCCACTTAGTGTCTACTGAATACCATGCCTGCATTTATTCACCCTTCCTCCCTCCATTTCTGCAGAAACAAAATTGTCACTGAGCCTGCCAGCTCTATTGTACTGAGTCTGTTTGGTGTGGAGATATCTCCTAATGTGAATGCCAGTTTGTGCATTCATTTGAGGCTTTAGAAGACTTGCTATGCTGTGAGTGCTGGCAGTGTATCAGCTCCTGTCCTCTTAAAGCTGACGTTCATTCAATTATCAGGTCATCTCAGTTTTCTGAGATTGGAGATTATAAATTCCATTGAATGAACTTACCACGTGCTGGATTTAGCCTTTGACACTCCCAAAAGGTTTTATCCATGTAAAGAATCAAACCTAGAGCCTTATGCATGATAGGAAATCACTCTACCCCCCAAACTTCACCCTAGCCCTGAAAATTCCAAAATTAGTTAAAAAGAAATTTTAATTCAACCTTGATTTCCTCAAATAGGCTCGTACTTGTTCATGTGTTTGGCTTCTCTCTGAGGCTGAGGTCATAGAGTGAAGCATTGGTCCTTGGGGTAGTGGGGCTCCCCAGCTCAGATTTGGCCTGGGGTGCTGCTGCCTCCTAGAGTTGTGTTGTGTTCCCTACAACACATTTCCTGCCAACCAGCCAGCTCTCTCTCTCTCTCTCTCTCTCTCTCTCTCTCTCTCTCTCTCTCTCTCTCGTGTCTGTCTGAACCTTGAACTTAGGTCCTCAGGCTTTTTTGTTTCTTGGGTTTTTTTTTTTTTTTTGCTCAAGGTGGGTGCTCTACCACTTAAGCCCAGCTTTTTTGGTGCTTAATTGGAGATAAGAGTCTTAAGTACTTTCCTGCTCTAGCTGGCTTCAAATCTTGATCTGCAGATCTCAGCCTCCTGAATAGCTAGGACTACAGGTGTGAGCCACTAGCACCCGGCCCCAGCCATCACCTTTTGATGTTGCAGATCTATTCTTGGTATCTCTCTCCATCTTGTTTTACTGTTGTATGCTGTGACTATGAGAAAACAGTCTGTCAAGGGGATACAGAAAAATCATGGTTATTCAATCAGTAGCTTAAGACAAAATATAGTCCTTTCCCCAGGGTAGTTGAGACATTCATTTCCCTCACTTTAGAATTCCTCTGACAACTTTAATCAGAAGTCTATTTTATGTTGTCTAACTCTGTCTCATCATGAGCATAATGTCCCCCTGTGCTAGTATTTTAGGAATGTCAATTAAACAAATATATAACTTCTGCTCAGTGAAGCCCCAGGGGATCCTGTGGCTGTCATTGCTAATATTTTAGGTTTATTTAGGCAAGCTCTGGAGTGTCAGCATTTCCCTCGGTGCTCGGTGTTCTACAGTTTGTTGCTGCCTTTGTTGTTGCTTATAAGCCCTCTTATTGCTTAGTGTTTTGTTTTTTTTTTCCCCCAAAAGCCCTAATATCAGCTGCCCATGGTTGAGCTACACTGTTATGGGCCTGGCTTTTGTGAGGACTGCAGAACACTGGAATGCTGTGACAGAATGAGATAGGGCTGGTTCCAATCTCTTCTTGTCCTTTCAGGGATCTCCTTTAGTGGGCATCTTGCATGAGGGTCTGGTTGCTTCCTCAGGGTCCCTGCCAGCTGTTCCCTTTCCATACCCAGCTGTCTCTACTGTAATGACCTTTCTTCCTCACAGATTTTGACAGAGCTGGAGCACAGTGGCATTGGGAGAATCAAAGAACAGAGTGCTCGAATGCTGGGACACCTGGTGTCCAACGCCCCCCGACTCATCCGCCCCTACATGGAGCCTATCCTGAAGGTAACACACAACTGATGGCCGCACCGTACCTTCTTTCCTGACAGTCTGATCTGAGTGTGTTTCAGGGATGGAATGTTTTAGTCCTTTTGGTACATTGAACAAAGTAGATCATGTCTCTGGTTCCAGGCTTAGAACAAGAGTTACATCAAGCCTCTTCAGTTAAAGAGTACCAAGAATCTCACCAGTTGCAAGAAGGTGCTCTCCTGGTGAGATAAGATGCTTTAGGCATCACTGAATTTACTCAGAAAGGAGAAGTAGGTAGAGAGCATAAAATACATGAGTTGCCAGGTGTGCCAGTGGCTCACGCCTGTAATCCTAGTTACTTAGGAAGCTAAGATCTGATGATCTCGGTTCAAAGCCAGCCCGGGCAAGGAAAGTCCATGAGACTTTTTGTTGTTGTTGTTGGTCATGGGGCTTGAACTGGGGCCTGAGCGCTGTCCCTTAGCTCTTCAGCTCAAGGCTAGTGCTCTACCACTTGAGCTACAGCGCCATTTCCTGTGAGACTCATCTCCAATAAAGGACCAGAAAAACTGGAAGTGGCACTGTGGCTCAAGTGGTAGAAAGCTAGCCTCGAGCTAAAGAGCGCAGGGACAGTGCCCAGGCCCAGAGTTGAAGCCCCACAACTGACAAAAAAAAGAAAGAAAGAAAATACATTTGTCATTTGAAGTCCTGGATAAAATGAGAAATCAGACAGATGATCATAGAGAAAAATTGAAAGGAGACAAAGGAAATGCCTTTAAATCACGGTGCTTGCCAGCTCCCTCAAATGCTAGACGTGTACTTGGTTATGGAGGAAAGTTTGTCATGGTTTCTTGGATTTTTTGGAGAGGGGAGGCAGGATGGGCTAGAGGATTGTTTTATTAGCTTAATTAGTTATACAGGGCGAGATTTCATGTTTTGGTTATATTTTTGCGTTCATCCTTTTGCAGTACTAGGGATCAAACCCTAGCACCTTGGCAGTGTGCTACTGCTGACCCATACCCACAACACTCTTGAGCAATTTTATTTTTTTGGCCAGTCCTTGAACTGCCAGGGCTTGAACTCAGGGCCTGGGCACTGCCCCTGAGCTTCTTTTGCTTATGGCTAGCACTCTACCACTTGAACCACAGTATCAATTCTGTTTTTTTCTGTTCATGTGGTACTGAGGAATCGAACCCAGGGCTTCATGCATGTTAGGCAAGCACTCTCTCACTAAGCCACATTCCCAGCCCTCTTGAGCAAATTTTACTTATGTTAAAGAAAGATTTCTATGGAACTAGAGACATGGCTGAAGTGGTAGAGTACCAGCTATGAGCAAAAAAGCTGAGTGAGAGCCTGAGGCCCTGTGTTTAAGCCCAAATACCTGTATAGAGAGAGAAAGAGAGACAGAGATTTAAAAAATATTGGGCTGGGAAGGTGGCTCAGTGGTAGAGCGCTTGCCTTGCATGCATGAGGCCCTGAGTTCGATTCCTCAGCACCACATACGCAGAAAAAAAAAAGCCGGAAGTGGCACTGTGGCTCAAGTGGTAGAGCACTAGCCTTGAGCTGAAGAGCTGAGGGACAGCTCCCAGGCCCAGAGTTCAGGCCCATGACCGGACCCAAAACAAACAAACAAAAAATATTGCTCAAATAGACTCTCTGGAGTTGGGAAAAAATAGAGAACTTATTACTAGAGAATTATTTGTTTTAATTAAGTAAAGGAACCTGATTTGGGAAATTAAGCTATAAAGGTAAGTACACAAAAGAAAAAGATTTCTAGTATATACTAATCTGCATTCATTTTCTCATGCCTTATTTCTATAGGCTTTAATTTTGAAACTCAAAGATCCAGACCCTGATCCAAACCCAGGTGTGATCAATAATGTCTTGGCCACAATTGGAGAACTAGCTCAGGTGAGGTGACAATCGCTTTCTCCCTAAGTGGAAAGAAACAGTTTAACCTCTAAGAAGTCAGGAAACTTCTCACCGCTCATTTCTAATTCCATTTGCTCTTGTTTTCACTTCCTTTTGCAGGTTAGTGGCTTAGAAATGAGGAAATGGGTGGATGAACTCTTTATCATCATCATGGACATGCTCCAGGACTCCTCTCTGTTGGCCAAAAGGCAGGTGAGTGCCACTGTTCCCTGACTGAGGGATGGTCCAGGGACCTTGTTTTTCTTTGTTCACTTCACTGGCCCATAATTCTCCACACTATAAAAAGAAGAAACATTGGGATTGAGAATTAGCTGTCTTGACCTAGTGTCACTTTTAATAAGTGTCGGTGCTGAGCAGTACCATTTCCTCTATTCTGAGAAAATGCTCTTGAGAGCCTCAGCTCTTTTTTTTTTTTTGTTTTCCCCCTAGTCCTGGGGCTTGAACTCAAGGCCTGGGCTCTGTCCCTGAGCTTCTTTTGCACAAGGCTAGCACTCTATCACTTGAGTCACAGCTCTTTCTGTTTATGTGGTATTGAGAAATCGAACCCAGGGCTTCATGCCTGCTAGGCAAGCATTCTACCACTGAGCCACCTTATCAGTCCAAGCCTCAGCTCTTGGAAAAAAAATAAGAAGAAGAAAGCCTTGGACACAGCGTGGTGGTACAGCTTCCATTCACCCTGGTCATTGTAGATCGGTTATTAGATGACTTGTCTGAAATTCAGCACCATGCTACCTTTGTGTTGAATCATCTGGTAGTCATTTGGGATACAGAAGAAATATGTATTTCCTTGGAAAATATGGGAATACTTTTTTATCTGTTGAACCAGTGGTTGTTGCAGGTTTGTATTTGATCAGCAATGTTATTTCCTTGCCCTCAGTGTCTGCTCATGTTTAGTGTCTTTACTGGAAATTTCTCTTATAATAGCTTCTGACACTTTATTATAATCCTGACACAAAGAGTAAGACTGTGCTTTCTTTTCTCTTACACTCACTCAATGAACCATGTGGTCTTCTGTCTATCCAGGTGGCCCTGTGGACCTTGGGGCAGTTGGTGGCCAGTACTGGCTATGTGGTGGAACCCTACAGGAAGTACCCTACCTTGCTTGAGGTGCTACTGAATTTTCTGAAGACAGAGCAGAACCAGGGCACACGGAGAGAGGTAGTGAGCCTGGGAACTTGGTCTTCAAAGACTACTAGGACAATAGAGGGGAGTGGTGACAGCATTCATGTACTCCTCAGTACTGACCATACTTCTTGCTCTTCTCCATTTTGTTCATGGAGCTGGGTTTGGGGTATGTATTGGGGACCGTGGAGCTTGAGAGGAATCAGCAATCCATTGTCATCCGATGTTGTGATGATTGTTTTTCTTTTTCTCTTCCACTCCCCCCCCCCCAGGCTATCCGGGTGTTAGGACTCTTGGGGGCTTTGGATCCCTACAAGCACAAAGTGAACATCGGCATGATTGACCAGTCCCGAGATGCTTCTGCTGTCAGCCTGTCAGAATCCAAGTCCAGCCAGGATTCCTGTAAGCCAGACTTGCCACACTGACTCCAAAGCCCTTGCTGAACTGATTTAGTAAGAATGTTAGTACAGGGGCTGGGAAGTTGGCTCAGTGGTAGAGCGCTTGCCTTGCATGCCTGACGCTCTGGGTTCGATTCCTCAGCACCACATAAGAAAAAGCCAGAAGTGGCGCTGTGGCTCAAGTGGTAGAGCGCTCGCCTTGAGCTGAAGAGCTGAGGGACAGCACCCAGGCCCAGAGTTCAGGCCCCACGACTGGACCCCCCCAAAAAAAAAAGAATGTTAGTACAGACAACTGAAACGACAAGATACTTGCGGAAGCCAGGAGCTGGTGGCTCATGCCTGTA